GTAAGTATGGAGCCTGTTTAAGATCATAAATAAATAAATAATAAATAAAAACTTCTAGAGAAACAAAACTGAAGGTATCACAATTCCAGATTTCAAGTTACATTACAAAGTGGTAATAATTAAAACAGTACAGTACTGGCATAACAATAAATTTATTTTTCAAAAAAATAAAGCAATGGAATAGAATAGAAAACCCAGAAATAACCCACAGTGATATGGTCAATTAATCTTCAACAAAGGAGGAATGAATATACAATGGGTAAAAGACAGTCTTTTCAACAAATGGTGTTGGGAACACTGGTCAGCTACATGCAAAAGAATGAGACTAGACCACTTCCTTTCAGCATACACAAAAGTAAACTCAAAATGGATTAAAGACCTAAATGTGAGGCCTGAAACCACGAAAATCCTTGAAGAGAGTATAGGCAGTAACTTCTCTGACATTGGCTATGGCAACACATTTCTAGAGGCAAGGGAAATAAAAGCAAAAATAAACTATTGGACTACATCAAAACAAAGTTTCTGAACAGTGAAGGAAACAGTCAACAAAACTAAGAGGCAATCTACTGAATGGAAGAATATATTTGCAAATGCGATATCTGATGAAAATTTAGTATCCAAAATATATAAAGAACATACATAACTCAACACTCAAAAAACAAACAATCCAATTAAAAATTGGGCAGAAGGGGCGCCTGGGTGGCTCAGTGGGTTAAGCGTCTGACTTTGACTCAGGTCAAGATCTCAGGGTTTGTGGGTTTGAGCCCCGCATCGGGCTCTGTGCTGACTGCCAGCTCAGAGCTTGGAGCCTGTTTCAGATTCTGTGTCTCCCTCTCCCTCTGGCCCTCCACTGTTCAGCTGTCACTCTCTCTCAGAAATAAATAAAATATTAAAATTTTTTTTAAAAATTGGGCAGAAGATATGAACAGACATTTCTCTAAAGAAGACATCCAGATGGCCAACAGACATATGAAGAGATGCTCAACAAATCAAAACCACAATGAAATATCACATCACACCTGTCAGACTGGCTAAAATCAAAACCACAAGAAACAACAAGTGTTGGCTAGGATGTGAAGCAAAAGGAAGCCTCTTGCACTGTTACTGAGAATGCAAACTGGTGCAGCCACTGTGGAAACAGTATGGAGGTTCCTCAAGAAGTTAAAAGTAGAACCACCCGATGATTCAGTAATTGCATTACTGGGTATTTATGAAAAAAAAAATACAAAAACACTAAATCCAAGGGATACATGTGCCCCTATGTTTACAGCAGCATTATCTACAAAGGCCAAGGTAAGGAAGCAGTCCAAGTGTCAATCCATAGATGAATGGATAAAGAAGATGTGATACACACACACACACACACACACACACACACACACATACACACACTCACACAATGGAACATTACACAGCCATAAAAAGGAATGAAATCTTGCCATTTGCAACAACACAGATGGATCTAGAGAGTATAATGCTAAGTGAAATAAGTCAGTCAGAGAAAAACAAATACCATATGATTTCACTCATATATGGAATGTACCAAAAAACAAATGAGCAAAGGAAAAAAGAGAGGAGACAAATCAAGAAACAGACTCTTAGCTATAGAGAACAAAGTGAAGGTTACCAGAGGGGATGTGGGCAGAGGGATGGCAGAAATAGGGGATGGGGATTAAAGAGTACCCTTATCAATATGAATAAAATGATAAATTTCTAAAATTCTAACTGCTGTGTCAAAAACCATACGTATGTCTTTAAGGCTCTTGACACATACTGACATATATTGCTGAAATGCCCTTCAGAAAGGTTGCACCAATCAATTCACGTGATCCCAGCATGGACAAGAGTGCCCATTCTCTCACATGTCCCTTAATTCTGAGTATTTTATTTAAATTCTTTAAAATAGGAAAGATATGGGGGCTCCTGGGTGGCTTAGTCGTTAAGCGTCCGACTTTCACTTAGGTCATGATCTCGCGGTTCGTGGGTTCAAGCCCCGCATCGGGCTCTCTGCTGACTGACAGCTCAGAGCCTGGAGCCTGTTTCAGAGTCTGTCACTCCCTCTCTCTCTGACCCTCCTCTGCTCATGCTGTCTCTCTCTCTCTCCTAGAAATAAATAAAACATTAAAAAAAATTTTTAAATAGGAAAGATATGGCCCTCCCGTGTCTTCATTAGCATTTCTTTGATTATCAGTGAAGTTAAAGACCTTTCCATTTGCTCATTAACCATTTGGATTTGTATGTGGAAACTTCATGGTCAAGTCCATTGTTTACTATTTCAATATGTCATACATTCAGGATTCAGGATAAGTGACAAGTTCCCAGAAACTCTCTAGGCCCCAGTACTCCTAACTGTGAAATGGATTTCAAAGGGAACACTTTCGAGACCTCTCCAACCAAAACCTTAACTGGACGGGGTAGCATTAAGGTCGCTGGAAGCCTGGGCACATCTCCTAGACTGGAGTCTCCACCAGCCCCTTCCCACTTTATTGTCCCAGTCAATAAAGGCCAAGCTGCCAAATGGGCTGGGCCACCTCTGCCAGAATCAACACCCTAACTCTGCTTCCCCATGTGGACACCCTGCCCATGACCATTTATTGAGGCAGTGACTGTCTTTTGCACCCCGTGTTAAACAAAGTGGTTTGTATTTTAAGAAGTGATTGTGGGTTTGTTCACCTTCATTGTTAATAACTCCACCCTCTAGGGAGGAGAATGGAAGGCCATGGCTGCCCACCTCACCAGCAATCCTATACTTGACCCATCTCTGTGATAACGTGAGGTGACATTCCTGACATGTTTTTAGAAGAACACATCCCTAGCCTGAAAGAAGAAAACTGTAGGGGCGCCTGGGTGGCTCAGTCAGCTGAGCGTCCAACTTCGGTGCAGGTCATGATCTCACAGTTCGTGGGTTCAAGCACCACAGTGGGCTCTGTGCTGCCAGCTAGCTCAGAGCCTGGAGCCTGCTTCAGATTCTGTGTCTCCCTCTCTCTCTGACCCTCCCCTGCTCACGCTGTCTCCCTCTCTCTCAGAAATAAATAAATAAATAAACAAACAAACAAACAAATAAATACATTTAAAAATTTTTTTAAAAAGAAGAAAACTGTAAAGACTTAGGAGAAAATCATACCTGTCTTTCCAAAAATAGTAACAGGAAGATTGATTTCTTACTGTAGACTGCCTTTAATGATGATTGCCATTAAGTTAGAAAAAAGTTTTCATTTTTTATCTTGGGTGGGTGGGTGGTTAAGATGAATTTCATTGAGTTGCAAATGCAGAGAGTTGAAATTCCTTCAAACTGATCATTGCTTGAAAATGAATATGTAATGAGAGACTCTTGAACGCTGAGAACAAACTGAGGGCTGATGGGGGTGGGGGAGAGGAGCAGGGGGTGATGGGCATGGGGGAGGGCACTTGTTGGGATGAGCAGTGGGTGTTATATGGAAACCAACTTGACAATAAACTATGAAAAAACAAAAGAAAGAAAATGAATATGTAAGCATAGCATGAGAAAAGTATTGAAGTGCATATCTTCACACCCTGGGGAGGTTTGTATAATGTTTTATTTTATGTGTCTTCCAGAAAAAGGAACCATACATTTTAATCTCGACCTCCCTTTATGTCCCATGTCCCAGTGGCTGATTCCCCACCCCGTCCCCCACCTCACTCACGATGGTCCACGAAAGTGAGCTGCAAACAGAGCAGATCTACAATTCATGGAGTGGTCCCCATCCTTCATGCCACCTGCTTCACTCCCTCTCTTCCTGAACTCCTGGCCCCATTCATTGCTCTCCTCTGCTGCCCCTCACACTTGCCACTCATACCATTCCAGACTGTCTACCGTATAGTTTCCAGCTTCACCAGTCCTCGAGTTCTGGTAGCTCTTGATGCCCCGGTCCTCCTAATCCCCAGCCCCATCCCCTGGCCTCCCAAACTCTTAGTAGCTGTCAACGCATTCGTGGTTCCATTTGGAGGAGATGAAATCTGGCAGCGTGTGGGTGCTTTACTAAGTCCTAGTGCGTCTAACTCCAGAGCTCAGGCCTACCATTGACAGGGCCAAGCGAGACATTCCTCAGCATCTTGCTCCATCGGGGGTCTGTCTGAGGGAGTGTGAGATCTGGCCTGCCCATGGGGCTCCGTTCCCTCTCCCCATGGATGTGAGGCTGTGTGATGGGTGCAAGTTCTGTGAAAGGAACCTGCTGTAGCCAAGCGTGCTGAGCGGCAGTTCCCACAGGAGGCGGCAAGCGTGTGCCCAGTACCCCCTGTCCCTGTGCCTTGCCTCCCACAGTTCAGCTGCTAGCTTCACCCACCCCAGGCTCAGGGCAGGACAGAAGATGCTGGAACTTGGTACATGCTTCCATGCTGGTCCTGCAGGGAGAGCCGAGTAAGATATATTTTTTGAACCTGACTGCATGCCATTTGGGCACCTCCTGAGTGTAAGAATTCATTGCTGCTATTGAAACCACCGGGGGCCATCGGATGAAAGCCCCAAATTCAAAGTCCATCTAAGAAAATCCTCCCATTAACGCACTGACGAAGAAGCTGGTGGAAAGAGAACCAAAACGGGAAAGAGAACCAGATGATATTCTTTCAAAACTAAAATTCCCTCAGGAATTTTTTCCCAAGCTTCCAGTTCCAGCCCCATGGAAGTCACTCACTGTTATCTTGGGGGGAGTGACTTGACCTGTCTCAGGTGACCTCTTCTATAAGAGCGTGTTAATAATACCCGTCACAGGGTGTGACGGGCTTAACACAGCACCCAGCATACCGTAGGAGCTCTGTATATGGCAGCTCCTGCTCTGTGCAAGCAAGGCCTAACTGGAGAGAAGTGGTGCGCCAAAGGAAGCACTAAGGATGCGAAAGTTGGAACCAGAAGAAGGCCAGGGTGAGCAGAAGGCGAGCTCTGTAGTCATGACGATGGTAAGCATGGGAACAACGAGAAAGCCATGGTAATCACCAGGCGGCAGCAACAAGGAGCTTGGCATCCCAGATCCAGCATCCGAGCTGGGAAGGCCTCTGGCCTGGTCCCCCAGAAGTGGCTCTAGCACCTGGTGACCTTTGTTACCTGTCGCACTCAATGAGACGGAGGCACCAGGTGACAGACAGGGAGAGGCTGAGAATGAGAAAGCGGGCCCCACACCAGCCCCAGCCCACAGGGTAGCAGGTAAGAGGGAGGCTCAGGGGCCAGCCCCTGCTCTCCTGTTTCTTAAGGTATGACCCCAAAAACCTCTGGCAAGTCTCTGAGCCCCAGATCCCCATGTCTAAAATGGGCGTGATGATAATCCGTACCTCCAAACATCACTGAGAGGGTTGCGCTGGATGAGAAAAGTATGTGAAGTGCTGAGCATGGTATCCTTTGCTCAGAAAGCACTCAGAGGCTGCACCGTTGTCCTCGCTCTTATGAATTTATCTTAAGGATTGCTACAGGGCTCCTGTGAAGTTCTGACTTTTATGCAGCTCTTTTCACACTGTTTGAAAAGTGTCGCTGACAGAACCCTGCATTGTAGCCCAGACCAAGTTAATGCTGCCAAATATCCAGGTTGGGGTTGCAGCTATTCCGCTCAAGGGACCACTCTGAGCCTCCGCTTCCTCATCTGTAACCCAGCGTCATCTGGACATGGCAGAGTGCCTGGGAGGACCCCCTGAGGCACTGGCTGGACGGTGGCCAGCAGCGGGCTTGGCACAGAGGGAGGCTCCAGGAATGGGAGTTCCCTTTCTTTTCCTGTTCCCCCTGGGAATGTGCAGAAAGCCAGGGCGAGGACCCCCCTGGGGCTCCTCTGGCCGCCTGACCAACCGGAGGGAAAGCCAAGGGAGAGCCCAGGGTGGAGAGCAGGAAGGGGGCTGTGGTGCGGAGCGGGTCAGCCCCTTTCCCTCTGTGACCCCGCAATTTGGAAACATCCCCCCTATCTGCTGTGCTGTGTCCCCGCCGTCCAGCCCACGGTGGCCAGAGCAACGGCAGGATAGAGAACTGCGCTCGCCAGCCGCCGTGTGCCGGCCTTCAGGTCAGGCCGAGCAGGGCCGGTCTCCAGCACACAGAGGGCCGGCAACCTCAGCCCCAGGTGAGGGATCCCCTGGTGCAGCCCTGGAATTTTCGCCTTCTGGTTCCCCTGGGAGGCCTGGGCCCAGAAACAGGCAAGGAGGCTCAGGGCTCCCTGCAGCATTGATTGGAGGGGCTTCATGCTCACAGATTTCCTCTCCCCTTCACTCTGGGCATGGGCTGGCTTTGGGACTCCTGGCGTCCACTAAGAGAGGTTTATGCTGTTTCTTACAATATAATAAGCTGTCATTTTTTTTCAACTGAGCACCTACTGTGTGCCCAGCCTAATGTGAAGTACAGTCAGTCCTCATCATTCCTGGATTCCGAGTTTGCACATTCACCTACTCCTCTCGGATTTATCTGTAAGCCCCAAGTCAACACCGGAGGTGTGCTTTGCACAAGCACAGCTATTCACAGATGTGTACAGAGCCGTCCAACGCACCCATCCGCAGCTGAGGTTGAATGAGGTGACGCTCTGCTGTTTTGTTCCAGATCTCATGCCACATACAAGTATCCTTTTGTGCTCTGTTTAGGGCCATGGTTTTCACATGTGGGGGATTTTTGTGATAATTTTTGCTGTTTGAAATGGCCCCCAGCGCATAGAGCTAAACTGTTGTCTGGCATTCCTAAGCCTGAGATAGCTGTGCTGTGCCTTGCAGAGAAAATACATATATTAGATGTATGAGTCATAGCGCTGTTACCATGAGTTCAATGTTGACAAATCAACAATCTGTATTAAATCAGGTAGAGCTAAACAGAAATACATGTGCAAGGTATGTACTGAACAACTGATAAAAATGTTGGGACCAGCAGCTCACAGATACCTGACACTGTATTTCCCTAGGACCAATGGCTTCAGTATTTGCTAATTAAGTGGTTTTGGAGATGTTATGAAAGATAATTACTATGAAAAATGGCAACCAACTGCATTTGTTATCTTATGTAGCTCTCTAAATAAGCACATGGATCAATACTATTATCTCCATTTTACAGGTATGGAGATCAAGGCAGAGGAAAGGGGCCTTTCCTAGGGTCACCCTGCTCACAGCTGGCTGCCTTGAGATCACACCTGCCTCCAACATTGGCATCCCCTTGACCACCTTGGGCTGCGCCGTTGTCTACTTCCCAGTGGCCAGTGCAACTTTCACAGCCACAGGAACAGAACCAGACCGCTGGCATACAGACTCGTCCTCACTTTATGGGAAACCTGAAGTCTGGAGAAGACAAGCAAGCCCCAGGGCACAGCAGTGAGAGCCTATGAAGGAATGGGGGGCCGTGGCAGCGTTTGCATTCTTTATGTTTTCCCCGCCCTCTGGGAAGTAGTCTGGGCTCCTGAAACCACCTTTTGTAAGTTTCCCATGAAGCTTTCTTTGGGGAAAATCTTGATTTTTGTAAAAAGGAAACTAATATATGTCATGCACCTGTCGAGTGCCAGGCACTACACCATTTATTCTCACAAGTCTGAGTATTACTACAGAGTATGACTCCTGGAATTATCTGGAAGCCCTGCCCATACACATTCAGCTCAACTTCTGCACACCAAGCCTGCTTAACATGATGTGGCCACGTGGCTTTCTTTTTTTTCTTTTTTTTCCTGGTCATTGGAGTACACTTGGCCCAAGTGCAGGGCAAGACACGGGGTCAAAGAGTTAATGCCCCTGGGAGAAGCCCTCAGACAGTAAAGGTGCTGTGGATAAACAGCCCAGCCTCCTAGCCACTTGGTTGGGACAGTCTCCAGTCATGTTCCATTCACACTCACCCAGGGTTCCCCAGTGGGACTGAGCTCTCATCAACCGTAATGGTATCTGGCTTGACAATATTTCCATCCCCTCCCTGTCTCAGATCTCCTCCCAAATAAACTACCAGCACTCAAATAACAGCCTTCCATTGAAATGAACAACGTGCTTGGAAGCACGTGGTCAAAATGATTAACTCAGCTTCACATGGATCAACACCTATTGCTATGTCTTCTTCAACATACTGCTGCCTCTGGAGAGCAAGGACCCATATGTGGCACGCTGGGGTGAGGGGGGCCAGGAAGATGGATTTACCACCATCAAGTGACAAGCAGTAGGTGGTGGCTGTGGACATACCACGTGACACGTGCTCCAAAATTGGGATTCTGGGCAAAAGATCAAAATGGTGGAAACAACATTGGCGCAGATCTCCTGTGGTCTAGTCATCCTGCTAAATAACTTCGACAAGACTCCTAGACATTATTTCTTTGAGTCCTATTGGTATGTCCAAGTAGATTACCCCGGCATTACACGTGTGTCTCAGAAAGGCAAACACAAGCAACACTGTATGGTAGCATCGTGATTTGTGACCAAGCCTATCTGACTCAGAGCTTTTACCCTTCCCCTTACCTGCCCCACTTCTAAGACCCTAAAAGGTTTACTCTCCAATAGTCCACATGCAATGAAGAGCTAGTAGGGGCTGAGGCACACTGTGGGGCAGTACTGTCTTTCAAATTCTACTTTATGGGCAGCTGCAGATGCTATACTGGCCTCACGTTTTCTATGGGCCAGGAGTCCCAGCACGACAGCTCTGTTCAGGGTCTCACAAGGCTGCAATCAAGGGGCATCTGGGCTGCATTCTCATCTGGAAGACCTGCAGGAGAAGACTGTGCTTCTAAGCTCATTCAGGTTGTTGACAGAATTCATCTCCTTACGGATGTGTGATTGAGGACCCCAGCTCTCAATGACTATCACCTGGAGACCAATCACAGGTTCTAGAAGCTACTCACAGTTCCCTAACACACAGCCTGTCCATAGGCAGTTCAGAAAATGACAGTTTGCTTCTTCTGTCTTTCCAGCCCACTAAAATGAGAGCATACATAACGCAAGATAATCCCAGGAACAACACCCCATCTCCTTTGACACATGATGGGCTGATTGGTTATTTGTATTACTATCACCATCATCAGTTGTAATTAATATTATTATTTTTATAATTATTATTAATTCAGTATTCTGAAATATAGCACTAAGATCTCACCGGCCTTTTGCACAGAAGCCTTCCATAGTTCCCAACACCTCTGGAATAAAACCCAAGTTCCAAGCCTGGCATTCATGCCTCCCAGTATCTTCCTGGTTTCATATTTGCCCACTCCTGGCTCTTCCCCGCTCACGTCCACCTCTTCATCTTCTTTTGGCACATGTAGCGCTTCTTCCTGGCCTGCCTTTACCTCTTTCAGTCAAGTTCATGTGCACATCTTTGCTAACTCATCAGAAAGATGGTCTTGACTCTCCCAGGTCCACTCAGCCTCTCTCCACTCTGGGCCCCAAAGCTGGCCACACTGCATCATATCACCTCATCAGGGAGTTCCAGTCCACCTCTGAATTCTGAGACTCGGCATACATAAGGTCTCTATACACCGTACTAAATGAATACATAATCAATATGATGAACAGCAACTTCTCTCTTATGGCCACTTCAGGTTTGCAAAGTATATTAAACTGATACAGAAAAGTCTGGAATGGAGACATTGAGCAAAAGACCAAGAGACCCAGCTGGATGACCTAGTGGGCCCAGAACCCATGTCCTCTTCGTATCGACTGACAGGCTCCGGAAAGGAACCGTGGCTCTGCTGAAGAGCCCCTGGGCTCAGCACTTCCCGTATTCGCTACTGCTATTCTTGGTGCTCCTCTTCCCCAAAGCCTACTTGCATATTTTCAGGTCTTTGGATGTTGCGGCCAAACCACTGTTGTACTTCCGAAAGCAGAACCAAAACACACCACCTGCCACTGTCCTCACTGACTTCCTGCTCCCAGGGCTCCAATCCCAGCCTGGAGCTCTCGGGCCCCTGCTTGGGAGCCATGTCCACTTTCCACACACAGGCCCTGCACACCGTCCACGCTCCCCCATCCTCCGACCTCCACAGCTCCTCCTCCAGCCTGGTTTTCTAAGACCTCTGCCTGCTCCCAGGAACCCAGATCCTCACCACTCTCTTCCTTGTTGAACCACTTCCCCATTTGAATTCTTTGCGTCCCTCCTCCGTTTATTCTGGGGAAGCCGGCTCCAAAACCCAGTTGTGACTTCTGTAGGTTAAAGGCCAGGACTGAAAACAAGAAGTTACCATTTCTGGCACCCCCTGGCTCCTTAGCCAGGACGGAGCTACAAAGGTAGTGTGCCTTGACCAGGCACAGAGGCTACTAGAAACGCTCATGCCAGGCAGGTCCCTGGGAAAGGAGGTTGGGGGAAAAAAACAAGGCCCACCAACGGAATCATGGAAGGATTCCAGTTTCTCCTGAAACTCCAGGTACATTAAATATACCCATTTCACAGATGATTGCTCTCAATTTTGAAACTAACTGAAATCCACAGAAGCACGTCTGGAGCCAAGGAAAGGGAGGAATCCACTCGTGACCCAAGACAAGCTACGTAAAACCTTGGGAGGCCAAGTTTCTTGTAAAAATGAGAAGGATTAGGGCCTTCACTGAGGATGACTGAGAATCAAATAAGATAATACTTTGAGTGACTAGCACAGCGTGGAGCATGTAGAAGTCTTGCCAAACAAAGCCAAATACCTTCCCCTTTAAAATTGCTGCTGTTGCCCTCCATGGAGCACCTCTGGGGGCCGTCGGCTCTCTAGAGCCACTGTGGCTGGAATGCACTTGGTACCCTCCAGGGCACTGCCAGCAGAGGCCTCAGGCAGGCCTGTCGCCAGTCCAGCTGGGGTGGCGGGTGGCCCTGAGCCAGCGTCCTCGGCAACTTCAGGAGCTGCTCACAGCGATGACTTTGATGTGAAGCCAAAGGTGGATGTGTTACAATTATCTAAATTATTCAAGGCCCCCACAACCTTCAGAGAGCTACAGGTTGCTTGTAACTTTGATTCCCTGCCTCCTACTGCGCCCCATCACACCAGCCCAAATTTCGGTTCCCCATCAAGTCCTGCCGTCTCACGCTTCGGTGCCTTTGCACGTGCCTGAGTCTCTGCCTAGAATTCCCTTCCCTCCTCTCTGTGGTGGCCAAAATCCCCCTCATGCTGCAGGTCTCAGCTCCACCACTCCTCTCTGTCACCTCTGCCTGTCCCTCCCCATTGCTCTGCACATGGGGCACCTATCTCTGCTCTAATTGCCCATGTATGTGCCTTGGTCCCCGACGCACTGAGGCTCATGAAGGGCAGGGAGCAAGCTTTACTCGTGTTCATGCCTGCTGCTCACCCCAGCCTGCCACAGAGAGGTTCTCAACAAGTGTCTGTTAAAGTGCACTTCAATTATGTGGTGGTGGAAAGAACCAAAGATTTAAAGCCCAAAGACCTCTCTTCTTGAATTCTAGCTTCTTCACAAAATAGCCCACAACATTGGTTTGATTCTTAGGCTCTGTGCACCTCAGTTTCCATTTTGTGAAAGAAAATGATGAGATGAATCTCGAAGAATGACTTTGAGGAAATGCATACCAACACACACCCGTGAGCGCGCGTGCACACACACACACACACACACATACACACTCCAGAGGCCAGAGTTCCACAGTTGGAGAGACAAGGAGAGTGAGCCATTGACACTGACCCTCCCAGCAAAAGCCCGATTGCCCATGGCAACCCCTCGGGGGTGTTTCTGGGATGCCTTGGTATCAGACTCTTGATTATAAAGGTGCTAAGTCCTGAGAGTTAGAAGCAGGGAGACCAGGCTTCAGGAAGGCTCCTGAGCTTCCCTCTCAAGGACAGACACGCCTTAACCCTGGCCAAGGTCAGAGCCCTTCTCACAGACTTCAACCAGATCTCATCTCCCTACAGAGAGTCCATAATGACACTCAAAGAGGTACTTCCAGTGGATCTTCTCTTGGGCCAGACTGGACAGAGGCCCTGGCTCTTGGACTCAGATTCTGGCTGGCACACTGAGAATCGGAAGGGCAGCAGAAACCTCACAGGAGGACTCGTTTTCCCAGAGCACAAGTTGGCATTTCGGGCCAGGACCCTCTTCTTGTCTTTAAGATTTACACCAGGGGTAGAGTACTAGTTAGGATAGACTAGGTGATGGTCCAGGAACAAACAAGCCCCTGAATCTCAGTGGCTTGCTACAGTTACAAAGGTTCCTTGCTCCCAGGTTTTATGGGTCCTAGAGGCTTCCCAGGCATCTGCTCATGGCTCAGAAAGGTAACCACACAAGCAGGCCAAGGAAGAACGAGCATCGGACTCGTTCACTCAGCAGTAATACACTCCACCCAGACATGGATGTGCCCGTTAACTTGACGTCTATTTACACTCTTAGGCCCTAAGCTCCTTCTGGATGTCAAGCTAAGGAGTCAGAGTTTTATCCCCTAGGAGAGGGAGGCTTGCAGTTCTTCATGAAGGGAGCCACGAAATCTCTTTGGAGGATCTGTAGCAGCACCCCACCTGCACTGACCGGGAGCACCTATAAGCCTGGGACGGGTAAAACACTTTCACAGTAGACTGAACCAGCTAGGTCTCTCTGAAAGATAGGAGTTCAAGTCCTGGTTCTGCAGCAAGAATGTCCTCTGATGTCAAAAGCTATCTCTTATTTATATGCTTACATGTGGACACATATACATGTCACAAGATATATAAGGCATTTTGATACTGATTTGTGTATAAAAAGTCTCTGAGGAAGGTGACAGTAAGTAAAAATGGGGTTACTTTAGTATTAAAATTACAGATGACAACAATCACTTTTTCTACAGAAAGCGAGAAGCATCAAGGTTCATGACCCAGTGCCCCGGTGCACAGGGTGTGGCATACAGATCCTTGAATGACACTTGATGCTTTCTATTTCTGTGAGGAAATCTAACAGGAGGTATCAAACATGCCATGTCAATGTCAAAATGACATGCCCTCATAAGTTCCTCCTTGCTCTGACATTTATAAAACTCAGGTGTGTAGTGACTAAATGACCCATCCAAGGTTGTACTG